AAACTTCTTTTGAGAAGTGGGCAAAACCAGGCCATTTCTCTAGAAATCTGTCTAAAGTACCTAATACAACTACTTGGATTTGGAACCTTCATGCTGATGCGCACGATTTTGACAGCCATAGTAATGACTTGGAAGATATTTCTCGCAAGGTTTGCTTCTTCATCCAGCCTAACTTATCCGGAAAAACTGTCAGCTTACGAATGTGGTTTTGAGGGCGGCCGTAAGGTCACCTATAGTTATAAAAGTGTGCGACCGAACTTCACACTAGGGGCATATGGCTTACCTTCAACTGGCAACAGTAAGCAAAACCTAAAATGGGTAGGGGTCAGAGGTGAGTCTCTGCCCTCCGAACCGTACGTGACAGTTTCCCGTCATACAGCTCTCCATCAGCGTTCCGTCTCGAACGCATAACACTCCCAGACGGGCCAACACTGATAATGCATCAGTATTGTTAGATGGTATCTCGGTTAGTTGGGCAAGTTTAGTTTAGCAATCTTGAAATAAGAAGTGGGATTAAGTCTCCTTTCAAAAATCCCTGTTCTCGCAAGCCCAGGAACTTGCTTCAGAAACAACAAAACTAACTCAAGGGTGGTACCCGTAAGGCCAGGATTTCCCGGCCATTTTTTACGGGTACATAATTTCATTAAAACACGAATAGAGTCAAGAGTTCCACCAAAACTAACTCAAGGGTGTCACCCGTAAGGCCAGGATTTCCCGGCCATTTTTTACGGGTACATAATTTCATTAAAACACGAATAGAGTCAAGAGTTCCACCGCTAGGCTCGAAAACATAAACTTTGAAGTTCGATGGCTAAATACATGGCAATCAAATCATAAGATGAGATCATGAAAAGCATACTACAAGTAGAGAGTAGAATTAACACCATAGATTCAAAAGCATTCAAAGTTTCTTGTTTGAAATAATCGAAACACATCAAAGTCTACTGTTTGAAAAATAGCAAAACAACCCATAATACCAAGAGCTAATCCAAAATCACCTACTCGATTCACAAGCATTGCTTTAATAGCTGCTTTATTTGCTTGAAGTCGTGTAAACCAAAAATTAATTAACAAATATGATGCGAGACCTACTCCTTCCCATCCTAAAAACATTTGCCAGGACATTGAGGAAACCAGGCCACGAAGTGGCAACAGCATCAGAAGCGCACTGCGTACTCAATTCAACCCAGAGAGCATACGGTGGAACCGGTGAACCATTCGAATCTCTTTTCGAATGGGGCAGAGGGCTCGTAGTACCTACCACACTTCGCACCTACTGGCAGAGGGGAAGGAGCCTAAATCGACGGACTTGGACCGCGAAACCAAGCACGTCGCATACTTGAGAGTTAAGGACACTTCTTCGTGTGTTGTACGCTCGACGAACACTTCTTCGTGTGTTGTACGCTCGACGAATGGGACTAAGCAGGGCGCTAGCCAGACTTCTGAGGCCTCTGCTTTGACATGCACCGATATTCATAACCTAAGGAGCGCTAGCTATGATGAATTTCGGGCCAGTGGCCTATTCAGCAGTCTCATGAAAGACATTAATCTATGGATTGCTGCCTATAAGATGCTAGCGCCTGCATTTCAAGGAATGGAATATGTAGAAGCTCCTTTTACCATTTCTGATGGGATATATGGCTCTACATTCTTTTTAGCTACTGGATTCCATGGCTTTCATGTCATCGTAGGAACCATTTTTCTTATTATCTGTTGTGTTCGTCAGTACATGGGTCATTTTACTCGAAGACACCATTTCGGGTTTGAAGCTGCCGCTTGGTATTGGCATTTTGTTGATGTGGTTTGGTTATTTCTATTTGTATCTATTTATTGGTGGGGGGGTAATTAACACTTACTACCCCAAAACCCGGGGACGCGTGCCAAAGGGCTCGCAAGAGCCGGGTGCGCCCGTCTCAGCACATTGAAACTGTGGACCAAATTTCTTCAGCGTGCTTCTTTTGAACTTAGTGCGATATTTAAGCGCTAAGGTCAATGCACAAGATTCCTTCATTAAGTGAACTATCGACCATAATGATGATCGATTGTCCACGAAAGAGTAGTAAGGCTAAGGTTGAGGGTTCAAATCCCTTTTTCCGCTCGTCAGCTTCCTTCGCTGCCTGGCCAAGAAAAGAATGGAGCCGACACCACCCCACCCTGGGGTGGGTGGGAAAGATGAACGCTTCGCGGCGGTTGTGTCACCAGAGGCCACGAAGTGGGAGAAAGTGGTTAATGAAGATTTAAAGCGTCATTTAGGTAAATACATATTAGAATAGTAAAAATGTTGTGCGCAGTGCAACCAATCGAGAAGATATGCAGGACCTCGGCCTCGATCATGCGTCCTGCAACTGCGCACACTGTGGCATTGTCCATGACAATGCCCATGACCGCATCCTGCCCAACCTTCTCGATTGCCCTCTTCAGTATCTCATAGTACGATACCGCGCGCTTGTCCTGAATACTCATGCAAACACTCCTCCAAAAGATGGAGCCTTTTGGGAACGAGACCATAATGTTGATGTGTGGCCTCGAGCGGCGATAGGTCCAACCGTCCAGTTGCAGCAAGCAACCAGTGGAAGGCCACTGCCGCCGCAGTTTCCTCCACCCTTGTTGCAACCCTCCCCTTGGTGACCTCCACACAAGTGGTCCTTGCCTTCTCGTTCTTCGCGTACTTGAAGGATTCGTGGGCGTTCATCAACGCCTTCACGATGTTGTTCCACTCCTCGCTCTTCATCATGTCGCAATGGGCAATCATCCAATCTTCGATCGAGCGCTGCGTCTCCTCGTTCTTCGCCACAACTGCGGCACTGTTCGTGATCAAGGACTGGCTCATCCCGGTCTTTGAAGTGGACGCCCCTACAGTAGTCTGTGTTGCGGAATTCGGCGCCTCCCCCTCACTTGCCTCACACTCATCCTCTTTGGAGGACACATCAACAGGTGCACAAGCCCCCTCGAGCTCTGTAATTGCGGCATTCCTCCCCCTTTCCCTCTCCTGCAACTCCTCTTTGCTCAGTGTCGCCCTCAACGGCCCAAGATTGCGTCTGTTTTCAAGGAAATGCTTCTTGGCCCTGCTTGCAGTCCCGACGACCATCCTCCCGCGCTATTTACATTTTTTGTTCCCGTTTCCTGTTTCCTTTGTCCGCTAGGCCTCTGGCCCCCAAGTCCTCATAATGTTTCTTTACACTCTCGCAGCCGTGCTTCGGCATCCTGCAAATAGTCGAGCAAGAAAAACAAAGCACTTGTGTTAGAGCTAGTGCCTCCCCCGCTTCCCAACCACAATTTCGCCCCCTCCCATCAGTCAACCAATCAATCAATGAATCAATCAGACGATTGATCGATCGATCAGTCGATTGATTGATTGATTGATGGATTGGTGGATTCATGGATTCATGGATTCATGGATGGATGGATGGATGGATTGATGGATCGATAGGTTGATCGATCGATTGTAGGTTGATCCATCGATTGATCGATCGATCGAATGAACCGGTTGAATGAGACCTGTCCTTGAAAAGGAAAGCAAACAGGAAGTCCGACCCCCACCACCAATCCATCATTCAACCAATCAACCAATCGATCAATCGATGAAGGTTGATTGATTGCTTGATTGGCAATGAATCTGTTGATTACAGCTATTGAAGAGCTATGCCTGAACTGGAATGTCAACAAAGAAAAGAAAAAAACGAGGTGCCTCGACCGTTCAGTTCCCAAAAAACTGCAAGTACGAAGATAGAGAGGGAGATAGAAGTGACGAGAGAGAGAGGGAGATGAATGATGAGAGGGAGATAGAAGAGACGAGAGAAAGAGGGAGATAAAAGTGACGAGATAGAGAGGGAGATAAAAGTGACGAGAGAGAGAGAGAGAGGGAGATAGAAGTGACGAGGGGGAGAGAGAGAGAGACGAAGATAGAACTGACGAGAGAGAGGGAGATAAAAGTGACGAGAGAGAGAGGGAGATAGAAGTGACAAGAGAGAGAGATGGAGATAGAACAAACGAGATGGTGAGAGGGAGCGACAAAAGTTTCAAGAGAGAGAGAGAGAGAGAGAGAGAGAGAGAGAGAGAGAGAGAGAGAGAGAGAGAGAGAGAGAGAAGTGAGGAGAGAGACCCCTAGCTGTCAACCTATCGATCCATCAATCAATCAATCAACCGATTGATCGATTGATCAATCGTCGGACTGATGGATGGATGGATGGATGGATCGATCAAAATCGATCAATCAATCAATCAATCAATCAATCAATCAATCAATCACATCGATTGAATGATTGATTGATTGAGATTGATTGATTTATTGATTGATTGATTGATTGATTGATTGATTGATGGATAGATGGATAGATGGATAGATAGGTTGATTGATATGTTGTAGGTTGATCCATCGATTGATCGATCGATCGAATGATTGGTTGATTGAATGAGACATGTGCCTGGAAAGGAAAGCAATTGGAAAGTCCGACCCCCACCACCAATCCATCATTCAACCAATCAACCAATCAATCAATCGATGAAGGTTGACTGATTGATTGATTGCTTGATTGGTAATGAATCTATTGATTACAACTATTGAAGAGCTATGCTTGAACTTGAATAACAACAAAGAAAAGAAAAAACGAGGTGCCTCCACCATTCAGTTCCCAAAAAATCGCAAGTACTGAGAGAGAGAGGGAGATAGAAGTGACGAGAGAGAGGGAGATAAAAGTGACGAGAGAGAGAGAGGGAGGTAGAACTGACGAGAGAGGGAGAGGGAGCCGCAAAAGTTACAAAAGAGAGAGTGGGAGAGAGAGAGAGAGACAAAGTGATGAGAGAGTGGGACAGACCGAGACAGAGAGACACAGAGAAGTGAGGAGAGAGACCCGTGGCTGTCGTCTCCCACCACCCCGTGACCGTTCGTCGTCGTTTTCCCCTCACCCTCCCCCGTCGTCCTCCCCGTCGCTCCACACCCCTGTCGCCCTACCCGGTCATCGTCCCCATCGTCCTCCCTGTCGCCCTCATCGCCCTCCCCCATCATCCTCCTCGTCGCCCCACACCCCTGTCGCCCTACCCCGTCGTCCTCCCCGTCGCCCATTGCCGACCTCCCCGTCCCCAATTGCTGGCCTCCCTGTCGCCCTCCTTGTCGCCCTCCTCATTGCCCTCCCGCTTCATCCTCCGAGTCGCCCTACCCTGTCGTCCTCCCCGTCACCCTCCCTGTCGCCCTCCCTCGTTGTCCTCCTCTTCGCCCCTCACCCCTATCGCCCTAACCTGTCACCCTCCCTGTCATCCTCCCCGTCGCCCATCGCCGACCTCCCCGTCGCACTCCCTGTCGTCGTCCTTGTCGCCCTCCTCCATTGTCCTCCCCGTCGCTCCACACCCTACCCTGTCGCCCTCCCTGTCGTCCTCCTCGTCGCCCATTGTCGTCCTCCCCGTCCCCCCACACCCCTGTCGCCCTACCCAGTCGTCCTCCTCATCGCCCATTGTCGACCTCCCTGTCCCCCATTGCCGGCCTCCCCATTGCCCTCCTTGTCGCCCTATCTGTCGGCCTCTCCCGTCGTCCTCCTCGTCGCCCCACACCCCTATCCCCCTACCGCGTCGTCCTCCCCGTCGTCCTCCCCATCGTTCTCCCCGTCGCCCCCACCCCTGTGGGCTGTCGCCCTCCCTGTCGTCCTCCCCGTCCCCCATTGCCGACCTCCCCGTCGCCCTCCCTGTCTCCTTCCCTGTCGCCTTCCCCCGTCCCCCTGTGAGCCAAATCAAGGAGAGAGGCGAACCTAGAGAGAGAGAGAGAGTGAGAGAGAGAGAAGAAGCTATTTCATGAGAGAGAGAGAGAGAGAGAGAGAGAGAGAGAGAGAGAGAGAGAGAAAGAGAGAGAGAGAGACTGACCTCGATGGCAGGTCTTCAGCAACTGATGGCACAGATCGCTCAGGCTTCTCGACGACGCTCTCCTGGGCGACAAGCTGAAGATGGCGATCGCGTGCGGGGGGGGGGGGCGCTTCAGCAATAGGGCGAACGGCCGCACACACAAATTTGAAATGGCGTCTTCCCCCTGTCGGGCTCAAACAACAACCTCCCCTTGGCTTGCTGAAGCTCACCCAAGCCAAAACTGCGATACACACCCTTCAGGGCTGCTCCGGTTAGACCCACAATCGACAAAAAACTGCGCCAACATTTTTCGGGGGTCCACACTGTCGCCTTCCCCCGTCCCCTGTGAGCCAAATCAGGGAGAGAGGTGAACCTGCCTCAGAGAGAGAGAGAGAGAGAGAGAGAGAGAGAGAGAGAGAAGAAGCTACTTCATGAGAGAGAGCGAGAGAGAGAGAGAGAGAGAAAGAGAGAGAGAGAGAGAGATTGACCTCGATGGCAGGTCTTCAGCAACTGATGGCACAGATCGCTCTGGCTTCTCGATGACGCTCTCCTGGGCGACAAGCTGAAGATGGTGATGGCGTGGCAGGAGGGGGCCGCTTCAGCAGTAGGGCGAACGACCGCACGCACAAATTTGAAATGGCCTCTTCCCCCTGTCGGGCTCAAACAACAACCTCCCCTTGGCTTGCTGAAGCTCACCCAAGCCAAAACTGCGATACACACCCTTCAGGGCTGGTCCGGTTAGACCCACAATCGACAAAAAACTGCGCCAACATTTTTCGGGGGTCCACACTGTCGCCTTCCCCCGTCCCCCTGTGAGCCAAATCAGGGAGAGAGGCGAACCTGCCTCAGAGAGAGAGAGAGAGAGAGAGAGAGAGAGAGAGAGAGAGAGAGAGAGAGAGAGAGAGAGATTGACCTCGATGGCAGGTCTTCAGCAACTGATGGCACAGATCGCTTTGGCTTCTCGACGACGCTCTCCTGGGCGACAAGCTGAAGATGGTGATGGCGTGGGAGGAGGGGGCCGCTTCAGCAGTAGGGCGAACGACCGCACGCACAAATTTGAAATGGCCTCTTCCCCCTGTCAGGCTCGAACAACAACCTCCCCTTGGCTTGTTGAAGCTCACCCAAGCCAAAACTGCGATACACACCCTTCAGGGCTGGTCCGGTCTGACCCACGATCGACAAAAAACTGCGCCAACATTTTGCGGGGGTCCACAGGCACCAGAAAATCACCTTGGGACCCCTAAAATTATTTTTCGAGTTTTCTCGAAATGGGGCCCAATTGGACCCCCCCAACCGGACCGTCTGGATCCCGATCTGGACGTCCGGTTGACAACCATGCTTAGCAGAGTTCAACTTTTATCTTTGAATTTATATCCGACTTACTATAAATCTGAGAAGCCTACCTCGCTAAAGGAGATGCTGCCCTATTTTTTACCAAATCAGAGAATTGGACAAAATTTGACTCTTTAAAGTCAAAGATCGTTTACAGATTTCATACTCAGTTAAGTATAAATTCTAAAAAGGCACTTTCTCTAAGGGAAGTGCTGTCAATTTTTTTTAGTTTTGAGGAGTTGGATTATATTTTGATAGGAAAGATTTTGGCAATCCACCCTGAATAGGGGAGATGCTGCCAAAATTTTCCTTATTTCCTCTAACACCCATTTAGAGGTAAATTTAGACCTACTCTTGGGAGAAAAATCTAGTGAGATGTGATAGTGGGGTTTGCTCTCCATACACTTAAAAGTTTTAGTTTTTAGGAATTGGTATTTGTTGTGTTACACGTCCCTCTCGATCATTTCGATTCAAGATCAGACTAGTTTCAGCTCAATCCTGGAAGGATCATCTTCTGTTATCTTTTCATAGCAGGTAGGTTGCCGATTTGTTGGTTCCTGGCTCAACTTGAATCCATTCTCGCCACTCACCCTAAGGACTTAGCTTCTGTTTTACCCGTACTCTGATAAAATGGCCATTTAAAAAGGACCGAGTGTTTTCTCGTGAAAGGTTGGACAAAGGTTGGGGCTTGCGTGGATAAGGCAAGGGGTATGAGTGCAGGGGGTGGTTGAAGTTGACCCTGCCTAGTGCGTGGTTTGCCGATGTTCAATCCTTGCTGTGATTGCATGTATGTTTTGTGAGTTGAAGTCCAAATTGACTTTGCTTCCGATCATGTGTATATTTTGAAGGGAGTTCCAGTGTTGATGGTGAGTGTGACCGCCTCGTGCTCTATAACCCCGTTATTTATGCTTTATGTATCTGCGTGGTTCACCGTAACGGTGTGTAATGATCAAGTAGATCTGTATTGAGAGAAAAGGAAGATCCCTTTTTACCTTTTACTTCTTAAAATTTTTATAGTTGGACGTTAACGTCCGTGGCGGTTGTCAAAGTCAAAACCCTTGACTTGTTTCCCAGGCTCCGATGACGGAGCCCCGTTCCCCTGGTCAAAGGTGAAACCCGCCTACCACTCACCTGAGCAGGGTGTTCTCGCAATCGCACTCGCAATTGTTCAGCCGACACTTGAGTGTCGAAGGCAACCCTCAATTACATTATGGACCATTTGGTTATAGGTACTACATAGTACGCCATCATCGCGATTGCTCGCGTGTTCATGCATGGCCAACCGATATGACAAGGGCTATGTCGTCGTGATATTTATACGGAGTCTCGCGCGCAACACTCACTATTTTTTTATTATCAAAAGATTATCGGTCAAAAACGAAAAAGGGATTAGGCGCGATTTATGTGTGAAACTTGGGTTCATTTTGGCGAGGTGTGTCGCGTGGTTAGATGGACCGTCCTAGTTGACCGACACTGAGCCGCGCTTGGGACATCAGCCCCCTGACCGTCGGTTCGTGCGCGAGTCCGATTAACGCGTTCGATCGCGCATACCCCCTATGCAACAACGTACGAGAAACGCCCTCGACTGGGCCACCTCAACGATTGCACTGGAGTAGCTTTCGCACAAGGTTCGGTAGCTCAGTGGGGATACGCCTGTCCAAGGGTGGTGTCAGCCCCTTGGGCAGAGGTGAGTTGTGCCTCGCGTGGCCCCTATCCTGTCGTAGGGGTTCGCGAGAGGTGCGGCTGGCGCACTCAGTCGGAGCAGTGAAAGGTCCATTGTGATAAAAGTCTAGCAAAATCCTGCGTGACACGGCCAGGAGGGTCCCCTTGCGGGACCGATGCGCTCGACAACAAGTGTGAGGGTCTGGTTTTCCGATGTTACAAAACAATGACCGATTGTTTGTACCTAACCTTGAACCTCTCCACACACACGTCTTGAGCTTGACTCGTGACCGAAATGGACACTTTGGTTTTGCAAAGATGTCGGAAATCTGCTACAACAGTTTGATTGGCCTAGTATGAAGGGATCTGCTAAGAAGTGTGTGGCCAAATGTCAAACCTGTCAACAGATCAAAGCATAGATGCAATTAAACTGCTTCCCATTTCCGACGGTCCCGGAGAGTCCGTCTCGATTTACTTCATGGACATGGGCAAGTTTAGTAAGAATGGGTATTCGCAAGTGATGGTGGTTGTGGGCCGTTTTTCCAATTCCTAAATCTGATCCCACTGCCACCCCACGCCCCAACTGACCTGGTGATATTCTGCAGTCCGAGACCCCGAAAACTCAAAGTGATCGAGACCTGCGCTTCATAAGTGCTGATTGGAAGGACTTCACGTCCGAACTCCTTGGTCTGAAACTAAAGATGACATCTGGTCGACATCTTGAAGCCAACGGTTTGGCTGAGGAGGTCAACCAGACTGCGATACAACTTCTTCGTGCCTTAATCATTCCGGATCAGGAAACATGGGATGAAGAGCTGTATTCGGTCAAGGGGCTGTACACCAACTCCATTCATTCTTCCACTGACATGACGCCAAACAGGCTGCATTACGGATGGAAGATTCGTAATCCGCTCTCCTACTCATTTTCTGAACCGTCGGCTGGCCTAAAACCTTGCAGGCCTGGCTTCTGTGCCAAGTCCGATCGCTTACTCGAAGTTGCCATTGCAGCGATGACTAAGCGACAGTGCCATGATCCATGATGCAAGGCGTGTCACGCAGACTTCTCCCTCTCTATGACGGTCCGTGGGAGGTCCTGGATGAGGTTGGCAATGATGGGCTTACCCCGTCATATGTGATTGTCGGGCCTCTTCAATTTTGCACGTACCTGGTCTTTCACGCGTTTAAACTGTTTACGTATCTAAATCCTTGAAATACCGTGCGAATATGATCCCTCGTGCAATCCATGGCGGTCACGAGATAAATAAAATTGTACAGCATATTGGTGAGGGATGTAACAAACAGTGCCATGTTAACTTCATGTATCACCCGTTGGATGATCTCTACTGGATCTCTGAGAAGGAACTGCTGTGCAGCGCACCTCATGTTGTTAGAGCATACCAACGACATATAGTTTCCGATGCTGTTCCAAAATCTATGAAAAACTCACTGCTACCGAGTATTCAGGGAACCTCTTCTCTATGTTTGGTCATGATGTGTTTGTAAAGGACTCAGATTGAGTAACTCGCTCGAAGGGACCTCACTCTTGAGGGGGAGGCAGTGCAAGGACCTGTCCAAACATGGACTAGGAACACAACTGATTTCTGAGTTTTGCTGCTAGAATGAATGCCTTGCTGACATTCCCGCTTTCTGCTAAGTTTTCTAAGTCTGCGTGTGTGTCTGAGTGCTTGCTGGTCTGCGTGCCTGTCTGAGTGCTTCACGGATTAGGTGTGTGTGTGACCCGCAAGGGTGCTTGCTTGGGAGACCCCTAGGGCCGGCACTTACATGTGGCTGTGACATTGAGGGTTGCGGCAGGAAAAACACTCAAGTGGCGGGAATAGGCCCCTGACACATAGAGCAGCGGGAAAACACTCAAGTAGCAGCCGGTACCACATCAAGTAGTGGTAGGTGTTCCGGGCACTCGAGGCCGAGCAGAAGAAGACAATACTTGTCATTTTTAGAGGCCCAGTAGTCGTAGGCTAGGTCTAAACGGGTACCAGTCCAAGTACCCCGAGTCTTGGGCCTGTACGGGGAATATCAGAGTCTGCAATGATGTTTCCCTCCGAAAGGGAGAAGGTACCAGTCACTTGGATGCCGCACGGCCTGGAAGTCACCGCCAAGAGGCAAGTTGGCCGCTATATCTCCAGGAGGACTGAAGTGCTCCTCCTCATTTGCTGCGTGCAAGTTTGGAGTCACGCTGCTGAAGCGCTGGTTGGAGCGCTGCTGACTCCAGCGCTGCGGAAGAGGAAGAGCGCCCAGCTCTCCACCTCAGCTATGGTGGAGGAGCTCGAGCTGGAGAGCAGGAAGAAGAGGACTACGAAGGGGGAGCGCCAAAAGTACTTACCTGGCTATGGTGGACGCCATCTTCATCACCTTGGTGGGCGCTGCATCTGGAATGCCTCGTTGGGTTAGAGCTACATCAAGAAGCTTCGAGGCAGAGGTAGGCATGGCGGCCTGAGTGGAAGCCTGCAGTAGAAGAGGGATTTGGACATTGATTCTGGTTCGGCCATTCATGACTATTATTATTGTTTATTGTTTAAATAAAGAGGGGAGGAGAAAAGGAGGAGATTGGTTGGCGAGAGTAATGGAGTTAATATTGGCCTTTGCTGGTCGACATCTTCTTCTTCTTCTTCTTCTTTCCCTCTCTCCCCTCTCGAGTTCATTCCTTTCTTTTTGCAGTTGGTCGGCACTGTGCCTTCTCGTGAATCTGTACTTCGAAATTGGCCAGGATCGTAACAAAAATGTAGCTTGGATAGAGGAAGGGGGCTGCAGGTGAGTGTGGGCTTAACTGTCAGCCAATACCTCCCAGGGGAAACAATCAATGCTGACAGGGGTCACCCGGGTCGTAACGTGGGGGAGCGCTGAGTACGTTTCACAATATTCTTCTCAGAGACGCTTGGCCCAGTTCCCAGCAGGTGATGACCCCCACCAAATGACGAAGATAAAGAAAAAAGAAGAAAAGGAAAATGGAGACAAAGAAAAGGCGAGGAAGGAAAGACGAAGTAGTTGGTAGTACAAACAGCAGCTGTAGTAGTCCTGGCTGTAAGACTAGTAGTAGTCGTAGAAGAAGATGGAGAAGAAGAGCAAGGAGAACACAAAGAGGAAGAAAATATCATCATCATCATCATCATCATCAGAAGAAGAAGAAGAAGAAGAAGAAGACAGGAGGAAAGTAGAGGAATCAGTAAGAAGAAACAGGAATGAGGAAGAAGCAGAAGCCGGGCAAGGAGAAGAATGGAAAAGTTAAAAGAACTGATTTGTCAATCAGGGGTCAGAAAGGATGATAACACAATTGCAGCGTTGAACAATGACGATGATGACGGTGTGCAAAAACCGATGAGGATGAGGATGACAACGGCAGCAACAAATGGCATGCAATCATATTGGAAAATGAGGGTAGAACGGCCTGGAGAATGCATAGGTACCTACTGGAATGTGCTTCCCAGTCAGAGGGCAATGGGCCAACAGTCCGCTATTCAACACCGATCACCATACCATTTTCCCAGAGTTGTCGATGTTAATCACAAAAGAAAACAAAACCATCATGTGAATGGGCAGCCATATGGGCACACCTGTGCTCTCTTGGCAAGCCTCTCAACTATTAACTTCCTCTGCTGGATCTGCATCCTCAGCAAAACCTCTTGCTTCTTTTGTATGTCCATGAGTAGTTCCAGATTCCCTTTCTGTTTTTGCTGATCCGAAGGGAAGCTCTTGTCCCCACTGGCGTTCACCGGCATCATAGTTGGCAACGCGCCTGCACTTCCACTTGCTGACCCAGTCGCCGAAGTCCAAGCTGAACCGCCAAAAACCGTGGCGCCGTCCTGCTTATGAAGGTTCAATATTGCACCAACACGTCTCACTGTGGATGGCATGGAATGTGCTGACGGGGCACCATCGCAGCCGCTGGATGCTCCTGCACTTCCACTTGCTGACCCAGTCGCCAAAGTCCAAGCTGAACCGCCAAAAACCGTGGCGCCATCCTGCTTTTGAAGGTTCAATACTGCACCAACACGTCCCCCTGTCGACAAAGATAGGGCTGCCATAGTGGATGGCATGGAATGTGCTGATGGGGCACCGCAGCAGCCGCCAGCAGCTGCGCCAGGCTCGCTGGATGTTTCTGCCTTCTTCTCTGTTCTCTCTTTCTGGATAGACAAAGGTGGAGCTGATGGTGAGGCTCTTGTGCCCTGACCATAATTCAATTCAGGTGCAAAAGTGTTTGCCCTTTTATCTGCAGTGGGAATCGAATCTCGCTTTGCCCAGGTGAGCTTTATGAATCTATTACCCATCACGGCTTCGGGGGCATGCAGCGCGGTCTTTGCATCCTCAGTTCTTGCAAATTGCAGAAAAGCTCTGCTGCCATCGTGCTGACAGCGCACATCAACCACTTTACCAAACTTCCTGAAATGATTCAGAATCGTTTCCAGAGTATTCAATTCCTGTGGAATGTTGAACAACCCAAGCGTCTTTGTGGCTTGTTTCTCAGCATGTTTCTTGGCATGGCACACTCTGCTCGTCCCTGGCACATATCCTTGCCCACTTCTAGCCATCCAATTGTTGGCAAACTCCCCCATTTCCTCACTATGCCTTGGACCAAAGTTTCCCATCTCCTCAGCTTTGCCAGCCGATCCCCGCTGCTGTTGCTGCTCCAGCCGGCCCCCATCGAAACTTCTCACTAAAGATCCCCGTCCTCGGCCAGAAAGGTAAGGATTTGGATCAGTCGCAGACATCAGGTGCAGATCAGCCACAGCCGGTGCAGCCCCATCTCTGTTGTCTCTGCTCCCACCACTACAACTGCTCCATGGCCTGTTCCAGGTGCCAGGTCTGTGCAGAACACAGCCCTCTTCCACTCCATCAAGGTCATGCCTGCCTCTCTTCACTCCCCTTCCCATTCCACTTTCTCTCATGCCCCCTCCCTCCAGCCTTCCTTGGACCCCTGAGAGCACCTCCGAGTCCAGGTGTCCAGAATCACAGCCCCAACCATTGCCACTTTTCGTTTGTAATACATGTCGGCCACCCATGCCTGTCACCCTCCAGCTGCTCCTGCTCACTCCACCAACATCCTTGGCAATACTGACACTACCAACGCCACCACCCAATGGCAATGGCAAATGACGAGAACCACCTCGAACACCCTTGGTAAGTCCCACAACCCAGCGGCTCGAATCTGGACTGCAAAGGTTGACTCCAGCACTGCCCCTTTCACTCAAACAGGAGCGGGCCTCAGTCCAAAGTGGCTGATCCGGATCATAGTGGTCTGGACTATCGGGCACCCCTCCAGAGGTAGTCCCGTTGCAAGATGAATTGACGTCAGGAAGCATTCGAGATGTTCCTTCCCCGATTGAAAGGTCATCCAATGATTGCCTTTCCCCAACAAACCCTCCATCACCTGCTGCTGCTCCTCTTCCCACTGCTCCTGCCTGAGCAGAAGCCAATGATCCACCCATCCCTGGATGGATCCCAGACAAGCGCAATGATGACCTTGACCCCAAGTTCTGGCTAATGGTCACACCTCGGCCTCTTCCAACAGTGACCGTAGGAAGATTGAACTGTTGAAGTGTCTGCACAGGAGTAGCACAAAGCCATTTCAGACCCATGAGAACAGGCAAACCCTAGCTTACATGCACAATAACGTTTCAAGGACCAGAAATGTAGCAACAAATGGAAAGGGGAGGCACCTTTGACAACCATTTGGCTAGGATCAAAGCTGTATCTGTTCTGATCAGCTCAATATACATCTCACTACAACAAAAAGGAAAATGAAGACATCGAAACACAAATCAACAAGATGATGTTGATGAATTGATCATTGCTTTCCAATCGTAATGCAAGGAACCACTCAAAAGAGAATGTTATGTGACCGATTGAAACAGCATCCAGCAAAGCATCCCTTGTTACAGACTTTGCCAGGGCTCGATCCCTGGTCTATCTTTTTGCTGTTTCTGCTGCATCCCGTTTTCGGCCTGGCACCCTTTTTTTCCAAACCCCTCCTTTGGTACCGTCGGATTTTGGACAACTGGCGCCATGCTGCAATTCGGGCGCCACTTTCAAATACCGCATTTTCAAGTTCTGCCCTCCGAGGCTTTTGCGGAAATGCCCCTGGTACCATACATATCACTGGTACTTATACTGGATCCCCGTACAGTATGGGGACCAGTCTCGTACCAGTTTTCAGCTACTGTACTCGTACTCAGTGTGACTTGTTTCGGCATTCGGAATCCAGGACTTTGACTTTGTGCCCTTGCCACTGTTTGCATCCGACCCTCAGTCATGTCGAGCGAGTGAGTGTGTGTGTGTGCTCTCACTCTCTCCCTCTCTCTCCCTCCCTCGGCTCTCCCTCAGCCTCGTGCTCGTCACACTGGTATCGGAGCGGTTCGAACCCGCCCGACCCACCCTGCTTCGTCATCACCACCTAGCCATCATCAGCATCATCGTCGTGATCGTCGCCGTCGTGCCACGTCATCATCGTCATTGTCGTCGTAGTGCCACGTCATCGTCGTGATAGTCGTCGTAGTGCCACGTCATTGTCGTGATCGTCGTCGTCGTGCCATGTCATCATCGTCGTCGTCGTGCCACGTCGCCATCGTCGTGGCCCTCGTCCTCGTCTCGGCCCTCGTCCTCGTCGCCACGCCGTACCATCCTCGTCATTGCCGTTGCTACCTCCACGCAGATAAGTAATCGACGACAATTTTCTTTTTTTCTTTTTTTATTCTTTTCTTCTTCTTCTTCTTTCTCTTCGTTCTCTTCTTCTTCGTCGTCGCGACTCCAATCCTGCTCCCGCGCAACCTCCCCTCCCCGACTCTCGATCTCCCCCCCTCCGCGCCGTTCTTCCCCCGCCGCGCGATCTTCTCCCCATTCCTCCTCTTCTTCTTTTACCCCCCCCTG